GTTGTAGCTGATATCGATGGTGCACTGTATGTTCGTTTAGGAACTCCGCGGGGTGGCGGATTTCGCGGTGGAGGCGGCAGTGGTGGATATCGTGGTGGCGGCAGCGGTGGATTTCGTGGCGGCGGCAGCGGTGGATTTCGCGGCGGTCGCGGTGGGAGAGGCGGTCCTCCACGAGGAGGCAGAAGACCTGGTGGTGGAGGTGGTTTCAGAGGCGGAAAGAAAGTGATTATCGAGCCTCATAGACATGAAGGTATTGATTAGTGCCTTTTACAGTCAACGTCAACTATTTTGCCCGCTTTGTTCGATTTCGATTAAACGTTTATCTGGGCATTATCCAATGAATTCAGCTGCTATCTGAGTAGTCTTTATAATCTTTGTTTGAGTTATAGCCCATGTAGTTTATCTTGAACCTCAGTTTGTTTGATGGCTAAGTACCGATATTGAACTTAATGTCATAATTTATCGATCAGTTTGCTATTCGGTGTTAATATTCTGGTGAGCTTATTCATGCGGCATTAATGTTCACTGTAAATCTGAGAGCACATGGTCGAGTCCTTCACAGTAAGTTGTTGGCATGTCTACGAGGGTAATACAGAATAGAGATTCGAAAGTGTCAGATGTCTATAAAGGCGATGTCATCAACGTCAGTTTTTGATCCAGATGTTTAGTATCTTCAGAAATTCATACTGATTCAGTGCTAGCGGTTTCTAAGAACTGTTCTGAAAATTTAATTCTTCGAATTCATAGTTCCGAAGGCAGATTTTCAATCAGGAGATTACTTAGCAGTGAACGTTTTTAAACGACAATATTATTCACCATTATGGCATAAGCGGAGCGAAACTTGAACGCAGTGTTACCTGGACAATAGTGCCACTACAGAGAAAACGCAGAAAGAAATGCAACGTGAAAAACTTTTAGAACTCCCTACTAGTCAATTTAATGACGTATTCAAAAGGAACGAGAAAGTTGTTTCTAGTCCTAATTTTGTTATCAGAAAGAATCCCTAAATTTCATGTTGTGAGCGGATATTGACAAAAGTTTTCATAATGCGGCAGCGTGTTACATTTAGAAAAGAAAGAAGGAACGGCGAGTGGCATTGCTTTAATGCTACGAAACAATATAAATAGTTGATAATGCCAGAAAAGTTAAGAAATCTACTAATTGCGGTTCAGTATTACTGTCCTTATAGAACTGCAGAACAAAACCTGTCCTTCTTTAGCGATACACGAGAAAGAAACTGCAGGCTACAAATTCGTTGCTCGTTTTCAAAAATTTTTGGTTATTCTCCTTTGCATGGCAACTCGGCTGAAGTCAAGCTAGAAGAAACCCTAATTAACTGCTGTTCATCTGACAGTATCGAACGACATATTAACTGCGACTTTGGTTTAAGCTCGGTTTTTAAAGCTGAAAAATGTGTAAAAACGGCTTATTATACACAACACAAGCGAATTGGTCAACCTGGTGATTAATTAGTACCGACTTAGATTAATTAGTTTCTGCTCGTCTCTTACTGGCCTTCTTTAGGGTGGTCCGGGTTTAAAGCCAAAAGGTACAAAAGCTGGGGGCCACGGGACGAACCGCGGAAGTCAACCCGGACCACCCTGAAGAAGGCCCATGACATACGAGCTAAAACGTCGGTACTGGTTAAGCACCCAATTGACTAAGTTGCATCGTTTTGTATGACTAAACCGTGGTTTAGACTATTTTCAGTATGAACACCAACGCACGAATGAAATACTCAATCTTCGGATAAGCTCGGGTTTAATACTTTGTTTATCCACTAGGAATTTTCATGGCACGCGGTAAAGAGGACGCGCTCGTCACAAAAAATCTTGCGATAGGCGAGTCGGTTTACGGTGAGAAAAGGATAACCGTCGAGGTAACGTGTTTTTTGTGGCGTTCAGCCATCTGCCGTTTCTCAGCGCTGCCATTCTCTGCTGCTTAGGACGAAAGCGGCAAAACCGAATACCGGGTGTGGAACCCGTTTCGAAGTAAGTTGGCGGCGGCCATCATGGGTGGCCTGGACAATATTTACATGAAACCCGGCTCAAAGGTATTGTACCTTGGTGCAGCCAGCGGAACCACAGTGTCGCACGTTTCAGACCTTGTGGGCGAGGTACGTTCTCGTCGTTGTGGTGTAACTTTTGTCATTGTCACTTTTTCAGGATGGACTCGTTTATGCCGTCGAGTTCAGTCACCGTTCCGGTCGTGACTTGCTGAACGTCTGTAAAAAGCGTATCAACATCATCCCGATTATTGAAGATGCACGTCACCCTCACAAATATAGAATGCTCGTTGGTAAAGTTTTATTCGCCACCTTGACTTACTTACATGGGCATCATAACGTTTCTGTGAACTAAATCTTACGCAGCCAATTCATAATGAGAAAGGTGTCACTCATTTCTGGCCATTCTCTCAACGTTTAGTGATGCCCAGAAGACAATAAGCTGAAACTCTCATGACAAAACATTAAGATAACGAACCGGTAAAGGGACACACCCGCTGCTGATGTTCATCAGATAACCGGACATTTGAAGTTTTTAGGCAATTCTGATACCTTTGGAACTCGCAAAGCTCGTTAGAACATTCCAAGTCTTTAGTATCTGGACTGTCGACCTCTCGACTATGAACGATGTATCACGTCTTATCGTCGAAGTAACCAAAACGGGTTTAGTCCTCGGTTGGTCAGTCAGTCAGTCCTCTATTCTGTCAGTGCTTATGGAGCCGAAACCAAAATGCTGCCAAAGATGACTATAATTTTAGTTTTATACGTCGGGAATCAGCTGCTTCCTGACACAAAACGGCACATTTTGTGCCGAACACAGCTGTCGCTGAATTCGCCGTTATGACACTCTGAGCCGGTCGTTGCAGAACCGTACTGTTCGATCATGCGGCTGAGCTTTCAGTAAGTGTTTCTTCATATTGTGCCCTCGGGAGACTGCAAACATTCGCAGAAGTTTCGCCATCGCCTTCACGGTGATAACCCAGAGCCAGCCTCGCGATTCTTTTTGAAATGGCTTACTCGAATGAACCCATTTATCATTGTCATTGTTTTTAGTAGTCGAACAGGTTACTGTTTGATGATTATTATTTGAACAGCTATAATATTCTTTTCATGCTCTTTTTACTAATAAAAACTCAAACGGTGCCACAATTTCTTGCTTCGTTTAATAGAAAAGATGCCCAAGATAGATACAGCACAAGATTTCTTAGTTCCATCAAACTTTAACAGTGACTGTTATTTGAAAGTTTGTCGTGCAGCAGTTCCCCTTTTATTTTAAGTTGTCATTGTGTTCTCGCATTTGTCTGTTTTTTAGATGACAACTTATTGCATGTTGTCACGCTTTTCAGGAATGGTTGATGTTATTTTCTCGGACGTTGCACAACCCGATCAGGCTCGAATCGTGACGCTGAATGCGCAGTATTTCTTAAAAAACGGCGGTCACGTGGTTATTTCTATCAAGGTAGGCCATGGTTGATTATCCGTAGTTACCACCGCAATGGTATGGTGGTATTTTAATGCGTTGCGCCGGTAGCGAATCGATTTTTGTACCACCAGAGTTGCAGCTTTAGCTGTCACCTGTTTTGCAACGGTGAAACATTGTAATCGTTCATTTTTTTCAATCGTTATTTTTAACAAGCAAGTTTTAGGCTAACTGTATTGATTCCACTGCAGAACCGGAAGCGGTTTTCGCAGGAGAAGTGAACAAATTAAAGGAGGATAAGGTGAAACCTATCGAACAGGTTACGCTTGAGCCATACGAAAGAGACCATGCGGTTGTGGTGGGACAGTATAGGTAAGAACTCAGTGATAGATGACACTAGTGGCTTTTACAGACGTATGTTTTAGGCCTCCACCTAAAGTAAAAAACGTATGATCCGAATTATATATTGCTGTCTGTCTTTGTAATAAAATGACTTTTCTTGAATCCGTACATCCATTATATCAGCGAGACCTCTCATTGTCATTACTTCTTTATATTGACTGTCTTGACAGTTGAAGGGCTCACGACAGTTTTATGGCTGAGGAAGGTATTCCTGAGTATGCGTACCTCTGGCATGCCATGCCTTACTTTGGTCATTCCCCAAATGCACTAGAACTGCATACGTTCAAATACGATGGATCCATAACCTGCCTAAAAGTTCGCTCCAACCCTTTGAGAAAAATGGGACGGATTCCACAACAATGTAAAGTCAAATTTTGTTAAGTTATGTGCATATTAATATACGCCTCACACTTTCGACGCTGTTACAAAAGTATATACGGTGTACCTGCTCCTGAAAATTACTGGTGCGGAATGAGGCAGTTATTGCTCTAGCTAACAAAATGACGTAGTACACATATTCACTGTAAAGCAGTCTGATATACCGTAAAACGCAGTTCTGGGAAATTACGCGCAGATACATTTTTTTGTTAGGCTTCTAAAGCTATTCTTCGTGCCCTACATGAATGCTGTTGTCTACTTTTTAGAAAAAATGTCACGGAACTTCATGAGCTTAAACCAGGGGCCATGCACAGCATTTTTTGAACTATGAGCGAGATTAAATCAGTGATTCGCAAGAATGCAAAGAGATAATTCGGTTTGCCACAAACAATGATTAGCAAGTGATGAAATAACTCTGACCTTCAGCTTGAGTTTCTTTTGTTCGCTGCCTTGTAAAACAACTATTTTTCGTATAACACTGTAATTACTCATTTAATGGATACAAAAGGTCATTAGAATAAATAAACGTTATGGCGACGCTTATGTAATCGATGTCAAAGTGTATTGCCAGTATTCCTTTCTGATCGGATCCATTTTCACAAGTTCTTCGTAAATCTAAAATGACATAAAGATCATGTTATGTTTTAGCTTTCCAAACAGTTACATTTACTTTTTTGATATGATCTATATGTGATTTATCCTTCGTTTCCTCCATCTTGTCCACCCAGTAGTCAAAAATGAACGACAACAAATAAGATGACTGAACACCCTGTTTACGCATTTCCTCACACGACGTGATGATAGACTCGTAATCTTGTCCCTCTGCGTGTTCCATGATACTATATAGTGTATCAATGAATGCTACGTAAGCAATCGGCAAAATAACGAAGTTACCCGGATAGATAATTCCACGAGCTCTCGTTGTGAGGTGCTTTCTTGATCAGTTCCAAAGTTAACCTGAAATATGACTTTGATCAAGCTAGCTATAGCAAGACAAGTTTCAAATTTTACTACTGCTTCATGGCAGCCGTTCCAGTGCGAAGTTCCTCGAAAATTCATATGCTGTATATAATTATCTTAATGATGCATAAGTAAAGAGGAGATATCAGGCTCAAAGAGTAGTCCCTAGACATTAACTTATATCTTGATTTTTGTTGAAGTCCAGTTACGTATAGCGTAAAAATAATTACAATTCTAATTACAGCACAACTAATTCAACTTCGTTCTTGAGTTGATGGTCATATTGAAAGCAGCATAAAACGGTTTATTTACACAGGCCTTCTGGCACCAAACGTTATAACAACTGAACCTCAGAAAGAACTTCCAAAATCGGTCCTCTACTTTGAAGAACGTCCGTGAGACATGGGTCGAAACGTCAGTACTAGTCAATAATGCAACTGACCATTCTCTCTGGGCTGTGTATAAATAGACCGCCTGGTGCTGTTTTCATTTAAAAAATATCACACGCTCAAAACTGAACAAAAACTGTTAATCAATGCGTGTTTACAAAATACAAAACTTCGAAAGATAACGTACTTTTGTTAGATTCCTTTAAAAAAACAAAAATTAAAGGTGAGGAAAGAACAGAAAAATGAGGAGGGAAATTTCTGTAGACTGCGAATAACTTATATGCAAGCAAAAAATTGTCAGTAGGACTAAAATATGAATCGCGAATATAAGAATGGAGGGGATTTGGGGGGAGCCAGTCGGGTGGAATCAACCGATATAGTTGACTGAGTACAGATGTAGTGAAGCGAAAACACACGATACAACTGCCTTTACGCCTTTCATCGGGGAATGGATACAATGTACATGGTCACATTCAATGAAGCGAATGGCTATGTGCGTTATAACACTGAGGGTTATAACACTAACACTCTTTTGGCAAATAATAAGCCGTAGGACAAGAGGGAAAAAATATACATGGACTAGGGTATTCCAGCAATATATTTAGCGCAGGTAAACAAATTCGAAATTTTACTTAACGGAGTATGTCTGTGCGCATGGCCTCCGTGAAGAAGAAAATACTTTCTGATATAGCAAACAAACGTTCTTCCGTGCGATATTAACGGGCAAATCACAGTTACGGACTTAATTTGGAAACAACCTAAGGAAGATATACCCATTTACCATGTCTTGTCGCTATCTGATTATAGCAGGATAAAAGCTTTCACAACAAACAGAAGGTTGAGGTCTTCTGCCCCTATTTCTAAACAGCCGTTTTGTTCTACAATTTCTGTCAACTCTCGTCGGTATGGCATGGTCTCGAGAATGGTATAGCTCATTTCAGCCGTAAAACGGTAGGAGGTTGCTTCAGACAGCTTTAGGGTTCATTTTCACAGCTTTTCAAGTTGCCGCCCAGTAAGTACTCGATAAAACACGGAGCCATGGTATTAAATCGCTCCTATAATGGTCTCTGTCACTAAATTTATCAGTGTGTACGCTTTATATTAACTGGGCACTTAATGACCAGACTGGAGCACTGGGTGATCAGTCAAACGCTGGCTTCTGCATCCCAGGCGGCGATAGCGTTCACCCAGATGATGGTCGGCGACACGATTTTTGGCGTCACCTTACATATATGATCCTTGAAAGTTAAACTCCATTTCAAGATTGTGCCGATACATTTTAAATGTCCGTTGTGGTTCACGTGGCACCTACAGAATTCTGTGTTGCAAGACATTCTAGCGTTTATGCCAAAACAGTATACCTTATACAAGAGCATTATTGTGGCTTCAAAATTTTTCGCATAGTAACCAGAGATGATATATCTGTTTGACTGTGCTTTTTACTTTGCGAAATCTAGCCTGTTCTTTTGCAAGCAGTCCTCTGTGTAATGGGTGATTCTGTTAGGCAGAATTTTTAGCATGACTACTGAGATGGCAAATAAATCTGATAATGCAGTAATATCTGCACTGCCTTGGATTTCTTTTCTTTGGAATAGGCACAACTGGATAACGCGTTCAATCTCTTGTCCACTTCCATTTTCCAGATTTTATTTTCGCCATCGTGGCTGAGTGGTTCTGCAGACACCGTAAACGTCAACAAATTTTTATTGCCTCGGTGATCTGATGGCTTCCATAATCTCCTCTCTGAGTACGCGCAAATCATTTTCCTGGTTGTCGACCATCTAACATGATGCTGCTTTAGTTTTGGCAGTTGTATAGCTGTTTGCTTTCGCCCCATTTGATTATCAGTGCATTCTGTTTGCCGAGCAGCTTCCCTTGTCAATTTTCGATGGTTAGGGGGCTTCGCTTTGCAGATAGCTTCAGGGTCTTCTTATTTTGTTCAAAAACCTGTTTATGAAATATCCCTGAAAATGGCTTCTGTGCCGGAAGCCGACACGTCAAATTAAAAACAGAAAGGAAAATTCTGTATCACATACAAAACCATATGAAAATGGTAGTTCAGATAACACTGGGGGTATCGAAAACGGCGTTCTAAGGAAGAAGCGTGTATTCATGCTTTCAGCATTAAGTGAAAAGCGCGTTTTTCGAGAGAGAGAGAGAGAGAGAGAGAGAGTACTTGATTTCGTGCTCCAGCGCTTCGCGCGTGTAGCCGGTAGTAGAAGAGATTACGAAATATCGGTAGTTCCACGCAGAATTGTTGCGTATGTCCTCTTGAATCAGGTGGTTGCAGAAAGCCAGTTCGTCGTTCCACAGTTTGAAAACCTTCACCACCCACTGCCTGCAGACAAAGTTTGATTAGCAATTTAGCTGACCGCTGGTAGCACAACGATCGGTACCGGTGCTGCCATGCGTGATAGTTCTTGGCGTCATCGTGAAGAATGCGCGCCGTGAACGACAATTCCTGACCAGGGTCGTTTAACGACTCTACCAGAAGATGTCTATGATGCCTGAAAACGCATAAAAGCAGTCATAGTAGCTGCTGACTAATGACCAGTCGAAATAAATGCAATACCACAGCTGATAGTTCTTGGGATTTTCTTCGATCAGATTACTGCACCACTTCATTTCATCGGCCAAATCAATTTTCAGGGCTTCAAGGACCAGCCGTCTATAGTGCCTGAAACACAATTCATGAATAACAGCCCATTAAGCGAGGACTAATTGTTATTCATACAGACAACGGATCGACACATCCATCCATTCTTATTTGACTAGCAGCCTGAAATACCGATTTCCGGCAAGTGGTGCCAAAAACTATCCCCCATATCCACGTGAGATACACTTTCCTTCAGACATCAGTCCCATCCCTTAAAATCTCTACCACTTTACACAGTGCTTAGTACTGCTAAATTCTTACGACTATAAGAGCACATCGATCAAAACAGAAATAAATAATTACCAGCGTTCAAAGCGGCTAATAACCAAAATATTAAATTAGTGGCTGGAAAATTTTACTTTACAGTAGCCAACCGTAACGTCACTGAGCAGCAGCTAACCGTAACACTGCTGAATCTGCCATTATAATCATTCTATCACGGTAAAAACATGGAACGTGGATCAAGACTATCGTTCGAAAAGAGTTTGATGACATACATGAATCAGTATATGGAAAGACAAAGATATCATGCCGATAATAATAGTTGTGAATGTTCTAAAATCCTGCAAAATGCTCTCAAATAATCAATGCTCATGTATCAAGCATAATACGTCACTGAAAATAACTGTGAAAAGGGGAACAGCGAAAAACAGAAACTGATTGAGTGTGCGAACGTGATTAAAGTTGGCAGACACACTGCTACATTTTCAGCTGCTCATTTAGTTCAATTCAACCTAACTTACTTTGCTGTCAGCATACCAACAGCAAGTTGCCCTTTATACAACACACAAAGAACAAAATTCACTGTGCAGTAGTAAAAGTCAAAAACAGGAGAGAGTTTAATCTGAATGGACAGTTAGCTTAAACGCAAGGTAAGTTTCTAGTAAGCAGACGCGCATTTGCGTCCACAAATTAATAAGCACATAACAGACGGCAGTACGGATAGTCTTCAGGATTTCAGAAAGACAAGCAACGAAAACTGATTTCTTGTAGATAGCAGCTAAGACAAGCAAGCTGGCAGGACGTCATACTTTGAGGCTTTGGAAATGCCAATATCGTTAGAGTAAAATAACTGAGCTGAGTAAACTAACTGATTTGAGCACCTTTTCATGTATGCAATTTATTTGTTCCTTCCGGTATAGATCGTTCAGCTGAAATGTCACCTCAACTGCTTGGCACAGCATGCACTACTTATGTTCTGTCACGTGAAGAAAGTAAGTTGAACGCAGCACGCCCTGGAGAAAAAGCTTTGGGCTTTTGATGGTACGTGGACATCACAACTCATTAATTCAGCGCGCATTTTGCAGTCGCGAGTTTGATTGCCCATCAGCAGTAGTTCATTATTTACGTATTAATGAATAGCTCACTTTTAATACAGTACTAAACGTCTCACTGAAAGCACAGTACTAATCTAGCGTCAAATTTGTGCACTTCCGCTATTTATGTTTCATTTGGTTTACTCCCATAACTACACAAGGTCATTAATTCAAAGATTAGTAATGCTGTAGTCACTGTAAACTGACACGACTGGAAGAACAGTTCCAATATCATATTTCCACTGCTGCTTATATTAAACCCATGAACTGTACTGGAGTACGGGAAAAGTGAGCCATTGAATGTATCGATGAGTTCGTAACGTCGCTTTCAAAACGAGACCGGGAAAAGTTTTTATTAGAGGGCTTTCACTACGTCTTTGACAGGAATAGTGCTGAATGAAAAAGGAAATTTTGGCGCTATGAACACAAAGGTCGGTGCAAAGCAAGAATACACACAGCTGGTATAACTGTTATCATAAAGATTGGTGAACATTCTCATGATTGTTCAGCGGCTGGTGTGAACGTAGCAGAACTTGTGACGAAGCTCAAAAATGCTGAAGACCACATGGAAGCACCAGTGTTATAAACGAGTGTGCGGTTGGATTGTCGCAATGGGCTCAAGGTTCTCATCAAGCACTTAAGAAGATTGCAATACGAAGAAGAAATGAAGTGAACGCTGCGACACCGGCTTCCATAAATCTACAGACATTAATTCTGCCGGAATAATATAAATGGCGCCTCGACATGGTCCGGAATACTGATATCCGGAAGAGCCTTGGTATACAGCCTTTGCTTCTCCAGATTGAGAAGTAACAGCTGCGATGGCTTGGGCATGTGCTGCGAATGCCTCTAAAAGGAAGGTTAAGCAATTGTTCCTTGCAAATCCGACCGGTAGAAGGCCCAGGGGACGGCCATAATTAACCTGGTGCAAATACATGGAAGGAGTCTGTTCCAGATTCCATTTGTCTTTTGCCGAAGCTCAGACTCTGGCACAGGATCAGGAACGTTGGAAACTCTGTCTGACGCGTCTGCCTCCGCGACCCGAAAGGAGAAGCGGCGATGGAAGATGAAGATGAAGGAATCATATAAAATGTAGTAATAGCAGTCAAGTATCGTTGAATCGTTCTTATTGGCGGCAGCAGACCTGGACCCAAGCGAATATTGATTTTTGGTACTCAGGGTAGCTTGTAGATCGTGAGGGAGTCGAGAACGTAATTTGCAGATGGAACATTTCGACCTGCACTGCTACTGTTCTCTGAAGTCTATATAGTGCTATCAGAAAGGTTTTATGGAGTCCATCTTGTTGTAGACGTGCTTTTGCCAGTCAAGTAGACAGTGACGTACAACATGCACTTTCAGATGTTAAGACCAGCTGCAAATGAACTTCATCCAAATTCTATTTCTTGTGACTTCGAAAGTGAGTCGATGCATACGATGAAGAACGCATTTCCAGATGTTCAACTTCATGGATTTTTCTACCATCTGAACAACAACAACAAGAAAAAGCATTTGGGCGAACTGCATTTCCTTTGTGCGTGAAACGCCGAGGCTAATTTCGCCCTGAAAGCGAAGATAATAACGAGCTTATGTATCCATTAATGCATTGGATGAAGCAATAGAACAATTCAAGAAACTTCCGAACGATCTGCAGCCACTTCTTGGGCGGTTCGAAGACAATAACATCGACCGTTTGAACTGTAGTAGAAATACGAGACGTCTGTTGTTTCAACAGAAATGTGGTCGCTTTACCGCAGGGTAATCAACAACGAACACTGCATGAACAACTACGCAGAAGCAGCTCATCGACGAATTCAGACCGAGTTGGTAATGTCAAACCGTCGTTATGGAAGTTAAATGACGAGCTCCGTAAAGTGCAGAAGAGACGCGAAATATACTACGAACAACTTACTGCCGATCATCAGCCACCAGTCAAGCTGAAAAAATATCGGGATACGGAAGGAAGAATATCTGCTATGAATGATTATCATAAAATAATTATTATTACTTTCCTTCGTGGCTCAGCGCATAACTACGAAATGGCACAATGAGAATATATATTGCATACAAAATTTTGCATATAAATAAAATTACTTTATACATCAGCTCCTTGTTCTTCCATGAAAATTAGACTTTAAACTAAAATACTGTATTTTCCCATCGATAACGCGCGCGTTATCTATGCAAAAAAGTCGTCAACGTAAAAAACGAGGCTGCGCTTTGTACAGTGAACAACGAAAAATAGTGACCAACATTCGACGATGAACGAATATACAAATTGCTTCTTTTCATAAATTTAAAAGAGATGATGGATAAGCTTTAAAATTTTCCATTTTGCTCTGTTCTGCAACCACTTTCACCCTCAACAAAATACTGGTTGTTGATACCTTATGTCCTTTTGATCTTTCTAAGAGATCCCCCATTCGAAAAGTGTTTATTCGAGCTCTGGTCAGAAGCACCTCCTGCACCTTACTGCACGTTTCTTCTTGTTTAAACATTTTAGGACTGCTTCTTTCCTCCATTCCCGAAAACTGGACTCTCCAACGTTAAATTTCCTGGCTGCCTCACGATTCTCTTTTTCTTTTGCAAAATTAACGGTTTCCAGCTTTGAAATCGGTGTATAAGATTTTCTGTGCACAGTATTTTCTCTCCATTGATAATTTTCTCAGGAGCAACTTTCAATGTTAAAAACTAAATATCTGCAACTTTTGTCAATTCTTCTGTTCGTCTGTTCACGGCCACGGCCAAACATATTATTCCATTATTCATTTGCCCGAACTGCCTATTTTCAGATAATAAATAGACTGCACGCTATCTATACATTTTCATGAGCATCAAATATTACAAGATGCGCGTTACCTATACACATATTTTAGCGAGGATAAAGAAGTACAAGGTGCGCGGTATACATAACGTGTGCGTTATTAATGGGAAAATACGATAGATTCAGAAATTTAAATTTGGTGAAATTACTGGTCAACGCAATTATCCTTTCCAACTCAGTTTCGAAAAAAAACAGTGAATAAAATCTTCTCGTACGTTGTAATGTCCTTGCGCAGTTATAACGTGGAAGAAAGACTGAAAATTTATATGGCAATGGATTCGTACTGTGCTCTCAGTGAGTTTCCCATTCATACGCAACATGATAATATAAGTCGCAAAAGCCATGACAGACGTTTAGTATCGTACATAGAGATATTCATTACTATGTAAATGATGAACATTTGCTGATAGACAGTCAAACTCGTGAAGAAAATCTTAAAAATCCAGTAGTTTGGCAAAAGTTTCACACTGTGCTCAGGGCGACATTCTTATGAATATGTAACATGGTGGTCTGAATATTAGTTGATCGAGATGACCACAGTCCATTCATATAGATTCAAACGCGCACCACAGGATTGCACGTTGATAACGACTATCGATCGCGCCGAAACGGCCCGCGCCGAATCGTCCCATTCCGTATACTAAAGAGAGTCTAGCGATCAGGGTGTTACAGCTATCGTAGTATTACACTACAATCAACTCCCAAAAAATGTTCTCGGCTGAGACAAGTAGATGATGAGGAGCTTCACCCAAATCAGACAAGCATCTGAGAGAGGAATCTCTGTCTGAACTAAATATTCATTCCAAGATTGCTAAGCAACGAATATGATTCCAATTGCCTTGATTTACAAGTTTCCCAGACTTTAAAGCTGCATTTGATTCATTACATACCTCAGTGATATGGGAAATCTTAAAATGCCGTGGAGTGCCTAAACACATTTACACTCTGTAAGAAATGTATGCAGAAACAGTCTGCTGTTTGCATCGATGAGGGCAATCTGACTGGTTTATTATTCACTGTGGAGCTCGTCAGGGATATGTGATTTTGACTTTGCGCTATCGACAATTTTCTCGAGTTTCTCATAGAATCAGTACTAACACTGGCAAAGATGACCGCATTCTAGGGTGAAGGCACAGTTCAAAATATTCGGTAAGATATCTTGCTAAATTGGAGAACGCGGATTATCTGATGAAGAGCGGGATCCGACACCTGACAGATTTCGTATGTGATAAAACTGTGAAATTCTAGAAGTCAAAATTTATGAGGAACCCGTTTGGCACAGCTAATCTACAAGTTGAACATTGAGGTACAACAGTAGAAGGGAATGATCAATTTAAGTTTCTCGGTTCAATCACCTCTAGCGACGGCACAATCCAGTCAAAGTTAAATCGGAGCATCGCCCGCGTTTTCAGTGTTTCTGGCAAATTACCGAATATTTGGACTGGACATAGAATAACTCTCCACAGAAATCTGCCTGCACCTTGTCACAGAGAGGTCAGAGCTGTTGTACGGCAAGTAAACAATTCTTCTAACGAAGGAGTCAAAACGACGGTTGCACTTCGTAAAGCAGCGCTGACTTCGTTGCATAATGAAAGTTAAATGACAGGACCACGTAACTCTGTTCTATTTCGCTCAGGTGACGTCAGCGGATGTGGACAGAGACCAAGAAATGGTTAACTGTCAGACAAACTCATTCTGTTTTGCAAACGGTGATGATCGCAGCAAAAGCCAACACTAGAGACAAGGAGACGGTGAAACCAGTTATCGGTCAGATGCGTATCTTAATGCTATTTGGATACTAGTGATAAGTTCATGCCATACACCTAAGCTGAAATTTTGCTTTGCATACCAAACGGTGTAGTTTGCTGGATTCATCATAACAGCATCCTTGGTTAATTCCAAGACTCGCTTGCTCTTCTCCTGCGACTGGAAAACTGCACGAAAATAGGCGAATATCTCGCTGACTGTAATTAAAATGATGTCAACGGTAAAAGTAAAAATGCAAATTATGTACACTTTTCCGAACAGGCAATGTTAACGAACGCTTTTTCTTCGTCAGAAAGGTAGATTGGCGCAACATCTTTCCAGTCACTGCGGCATCGGTACGAAATCCATCCATTTTCGTCAGCGGAAATTCCCATTTCAGGAATTATCTGAAATAAAGCACATGTCAACACCTCATTCCATTCACAAAAGACCTGGCTCTTTGCCAAAAATGCGGGCAACTACAAATTTTCGACACTACCTGGCAAACTCTTCGGCTCAGAGACTTCGGAGGCAATGAACGAAAATATTTGTTTTGGGCTCAACCAATTCCAAAGTCTAAAAACTTTCAAACGGGATTAGCAGGAAAAGCACTTACAATTCAAAATATAAAGAGTGCCATCCACTGAATCAAAAATAAGCAAAACATTAATTGGGCACTTAAAATCAGGTTTAGTTCTTCGGCAGCATCAGACGGGTTTCGCTCGGAACCGCGAATTGTCAGACGTACCACGAAAGACGACATTCGGATATAGGGAAGGACTGTAAGAAACTCTTAAGATAATTCAGGTTTTGCTACGTATCTTTTTGACTATCTATTTGACGTATCTATTTATCACAAAACATTGACCTTGTTTGATGTCAACGCATTTCACTATTCTTGCCTATAATCGCCAGCATAAGAAATATACTGCACATGGCAAACGCTAGACATCATTACACGAAAAATGAAAATCAAAAGAACGTTAACTGCAGCTCAAATATGCTCAGAAAGGCTTCTGTCATGAACATATATATAAAGTGAGTCTCTCTATCGCTACTCATGGATTTCTTTTAACTACTATTAAACGAAAGTATTTAAAATGGCCAGGATCTTCAGCAGGTCTTGAAGACCAACGTCGGTTAGTCAAAATATCGTTGCTTAACTGCAGTTAAATCATCTGTGAACACCGTTAAGCATACAGATTAACTTGCAAATCTTGCATACGAAGCAGCAGCTGCGAAGGGGTAGTACTTCTGAAGCAATGCCTAACATTCCCTTAAAACTTACAACGTTTTCAAACTAAGTTGGCAACGTAAAAGCTGCAGAGTACAAAGTTAACTGTTAGTAAATTGTCAGCCTTTATATAGTTACGCGAATGTGATACTTCTAAGAAATTTCAGAGTAAGTCCCAAACATACTACAGTAATACACTATACGGATAATAGAACTTTGGAACATAGCAACGACCAACACTTCTGATACGGTAGGTTAAGAAATGATCATAAAGATATAATTAATCATGCTATAGGCAATAAAAAGCTCGTCGAGATTCGTCAAACCCCTTATTTGTGCTACACCATCAGTGTTAAGCTTTCAGCCAATCACATATAGGCAATCTCCCCAACACAATATGGCTGTCCGCTCTCCAACATAGCGTCAGCACTGCCGCGCATCTTTAGACGTCAACCGGTCGCACTGTAGTGGCCATCGTCCAAGTGGATTTTGTGGCATAAAGTAGACTTGCTTGACGACGTGGATGAAAGCAGGATGCTACGCAGAATAGATTCGATTATGTTAAGAGTAGTAAATTTCATTGCAGCGATTTGCAATTTTTCATATGTGCATATTAATGTTTCATTTATTCGTAACATGCTTCATTCAGTCAGTTAACAATCATTGTATTTGCGTATCATCGTCTTTATGCGGCATAATACGTCTGCCATCACTTTCCTACTAAGTTACAGCGCAGCGACGTGCTCATGACTTTAGGAAACGTGCGCTGGATGGCGTAGAGTGGACGTAGTGGATGCAGTTCTGGATAAAGTGGATGGATGCACACACTCTCGCACAATGGAGTGCACTATCATAGCCGTATTAGAGTCTGTATCGCGATTTGTTGATTTCTTGTGAATTCAGCAGGTGAGCCGTTATGAGCCGTTATCTCATCAATTTTTGGGCTAGGACGCTCCTTCCGTCCGCGCGGAGTTCATATTTTTTATCACGGATGACATTTTCGCAGGATTCAATGATTAATGCCTCTTTTAAATGCAGCAATACGAACCGAAAACTTCTGTACCTGCGCCGAACCATCAACCGCTGCGGACGGAAAACGAAATCCTCGAAAATCTACTATCCATCTACCTTCTTAAAGGCTCGTGATACGTCGGTATTGATCAGTCATAGGATTGACCTTGTTATCTTTCCAGTGGTGCATTACCAAACCGTGCTGGTTTCTCATTATGAGCACCAACGCACGAACGAAATGATTAATACATCTTCATCTTCATCCTCCATCGCCCTTCTCTTTTCGGGTCGCGGAGGCAGACACGTCAGACAGAGCTTCCAACGTTCACGATCATCTCCCAGATTCTGAGCTTCGGCAAAAAACAATTGGAGCCAGGAACAGACTCCTTCCATATGTCTGCACAAGGTTAATCTTGGCCGTAACTTGGGCCTTTTGCCGGTCGCATTTGCAAGGAACAGTTGCTTAGCCTTCCTTTCTGGAGGCATTCCAACACATGCCCAAGCCGTCGCAGCTGTGACTTCTCAATCTGGAGAAGCAAAGGCTGTATACCAAGGGTCTTCCGGATGTCACTGTTCCGGACCATGTCGAAACGCGTAAGGCCAGCCACTCGTCTAAGAAGCCTATTTCAGCAGCTTGTACCCGGGTTCGAAGTTTTTCAATGATCGTTCACGATTCATGACCGTCGGTAAGTAGGCGGATAAAGATCGACTTGAATATTGAGAGCTTAGTTTTCGGATGAAAAATGACAAGAACACCAAGAGCTTATTTTCAGACTGAGCTCTGCTTTAGTCACAATCGGTCAGGCTACTTCACGCAGAACGCCATTGGCTGCTCCAATTCGCCGATTGATCTCTTCCTCCAATTTTCCACTACTAATAAATACAGTTCAGAGGTACTTGAACTTCTCCACCTGTTCCACTGCCTCTCCGTTAATCTGAAGAGAGCAACGGGCAGGAGAACGAGAAAACACTAGGCTTTTCCTTTTAAATGTGTTCACAGGCATGCCGGTCAAGTCGCATTCGGCTGCGAACCGTTCTAGGGAGCACTGAAGATCAGTTTTAGAAGATGGTAATAAAACATGGTCGTCTGCAAACAGCAACCTTCTCGACTTAACATCTCCAATACCGATACCCTCATCGCCTTGGCAGCT